AAAAAATTTACAACATTTTATGGAACCTGGAAGTTCATTACCATGGTCATCACTGATCTTGATCCTGAGCCAGATGAATCTAGTCCATTGCTGGTATAGCAACTGCCTATAGGATGGACAACCAAAGGGTCAGAGTTTGAGTCCCGGTACGGTCAAGAATCTTCTCTTCTCAACATTGTCCAGACCAGCTCTGGGGCTCACATAGTCTCCTATACAATAGATACCAGGGGCTCTTTCCTCGGAGGTAAAGCAGATGGGGCATGGAATTTACTACTCACATCCAACTAGTGCAAAGGTCAAGAAAATGTGGATCTATACATCTACTCCCCCCATACATCTTCATGGCGTGGTGCTTAATTAGTTAAGCTCAGGGACAATTTTACCTTTTTACCCTTCACCTCCCCTAGCCCCATCCTATTTCTCTAAGATCCATTTTAATAGTCTCTCATCTACACGTATACCTAGGTCTTCCCACTGGGTGCTGCACTTAATATTATAAAGTTAAAGTTATCCTTGTGCCTAATTAAGTACCAACCCATGAAGACATATGGAGATGAAGTATAGCTTCAACATTATTGACTTTGGCACTCACCTGATGGCAGAAACAGATTCAGTTTCTGGAATGATGTGTTCATGTTGTTTAGAATATAGGATTAAGCACTAACTCCAAAAATCCAGTAATTCCAAGGATTCCAGATATTGTTTTGCATGTTATAATGCAAAGGCAAATCATAAATATAGTTATTTTACACCATTTTCTTTAATATTGGCATACATTTGGAATGGTTGTAGAATTATAATTTAAGTTTCTGTTCTACCCACACACATTACAGTTCAATTGTTCTAAGGCTTTCAGTCCCCAACAGTTCTCTCTCACATAAGCATTTTATCCTCATTCCATCAAATCTCCATAGGCATTACCACCAGTAAAGGTACAATAGGACATATGGAGGATTTAAGACCACAGAAACTGTTTTCAAGACTAATTATACTTTCATATTATTATCTCTGTATTACTATATTATTATTATTAAAATTATTATTATTATTATTATTATTTATTATAATTTGGCATACTATTTCTGTATTATTATATTCTTATTACTATTTAGTATTAGTATTAATATTAATCTTTGACTTGTCCCATATCATGTATAATGATTCATGGATGAAATAAAATTGAATTGAATTGAATTGAATAATGCCTACAGCTTAAAGGTCCATGATATTTTGCCTTTACAGTTGCATGGCATTTCCATATGTAGCTATTCATAGATGCCAACCTTGCCCACGAATTACCACTTACAATGGAAATCAATATTCACATTTCCTGGCAAAGCATTTTGTATTAGGTACAGTCCTGTAAGATGCATAGTACAGGTAAGTTCAGATTACTGAAAACACATCACACTTTAAGACCTTCTTCACATCTCACGTGGCTTCTTAGGAATCTGAGATACATATTCAGGCACTTCATTGGTTATATAACAAAGTGTACATCTTCAAATTAATACACTGTCTCAGCAGGGGAAGTTTTGTTAATGGAAAAGTATTTATCTCTCTTTGCAGTTGGACACAATCATTTGGGGAAGGCCATTTTTGGAGATAAAATTTGAGTCAGTAAGATGTCAACACACAGAAATTATTTGTTGAATGGTTTTCAACCGCATTAATTTAATTAGCAAATAATCTGGTTTCCGATCTTTATTAAAAAAAATGGGGACGCATTTTTTTGGAAAGAGAAAACTATCTATGGTGCATGAACATGATGAAGATTTGGGCCCATAACTAGAGATGACCTTGGCCTAGTTCAAATCAACAACCAGTAAATTTACTGTCATGCACCTCGCTCTTTTCCCTTAATTTGACACCGCCGGGGAGATGTTCTGTAATCTGCAGGCACGGTTGCCTTATTTCCGTAAGAATGATGCTTTAAAAGCCTCTTTGCCACACAAACTGTGCTTCTAGACACTCCGAATTCAAGGGCCACGTGACGCAACAATACATTGGGGCTGGCTTCTAATCGAGCACCAATCTTATCCAGCATTTCTTCAGTCAAAATACGTCGTTTACGACTTTTCTTTTTGTCCAGAACCGAGCCCGTTTTATGAACCTTTCCGACCATTTTGTATATTGTTGCTTTACATGGTACTGTTATTTCTGGATATTTTCTGTGAAACTTTCGACAACACTTCCTCCATGAAGAATACTTCACAAAAGTATCGTACATGAAAACCCTTTGTTCAACACTATATTTCATACCACTTCGTGTTCAGTAGTTCTCGTAATACAAAACGTCAACGTCTTACAATTACATTGCACGAAAGCAAATAAAAAACTATAACCTATTTGACCTATTACGCCTAATACACCAGAATAAAATCTTATTGGCCGGGAACATTCCGCCATAACGTCACGCAATATGATGCTGCCATCTATCCGCGACTAGTAATGGGCCTATTACAATTGCCATACCCATATCGGTAAAATAGTACCCGATAGTACATACTACCGAACAAACACGAGCACTTACATCCGCTTTTAAAAATTAATTTAGCCCCATGTTTGGTGGGTCCCATGCCACCACGGCATGGCGCGTCCTCACGTTGCAGATGGAAGTGAATTACAGTGATATAGTCGAGGATGAGATAGGCAGGGCATGTAGCACGAACGGGGGAGAAGAGATATGCATATAGGATATTGATGGAAATGCCAGAATGAAAGAGACCACCAGGAAGACGAAGATGTAGGTGGGTGGATATTATTAAACTTGATCTTAGAGAGGCAGGATGTGGTGGTATGGACTGGATCAATCTGGCTTATGATAGGGATCACCTGAGGGCTCTCGTGAGAACAGTATTGAACCTTTAGGTCCTTGAGTTGCTGCACAATTTGCAACTTTTCAAGAAGGACTCATCTCCATGAAGTTTGTTAGAATTTACTTAGCCAGTATCACTTCACTCATCTCTATCAGAAGAAATTACCTCTGAATTTCCTTCAAAAGCAAACATTCTACCTGAATCTAAAATGCCTTACTGAAATGTAGTATATCACAGATATCACATCATAAACGTTTAAGACACCTGAGGTTGGACAAACCTGAATGAATAACATATTTCCATTAGAGATATCCATATTAATCCAGTCTAGAAATTAACGCTGGTGGGGGATCTGTTGCACTGACCACGTGACACCCTCTATCTGCTAAAGTTGGCACTAACTTCGCCGACAAGCGGCGGTCGCTCAGTCGGTATAGTTCACTTGCGGACTACAGGCCCCGGAGTTTATTTGTTTTATATCCATATTAAACATTGTATCATTTAATCACAAATCATGATATGAAGCCATTCTCATTATGTAACAATAGCATTACATTTTTTAGATGCAGAATTGAAATACAAACAGCTCATAAACACACATACTTAAAGAGGCCACAGAGATATTGGGTTTTCGGACTTTATCCAACGTCCTGGTTTTTAAGATAACTAAGAAAAACACGACGTTTCGGAAACTGGATCGTGTGTTTTTCTTAGTTATCTTAAAAACCAGGACGATGGATAAAGTCCGAAAACCCAATATCTCTGTGTGTTATACACCATCGTCAGAATCCTATAGTAACTACTTAAAGAGGCCAATACTTCCACCTCAGAGATCAGAAATTAAACAAGACATTTTATGTTTTACATAAGTGTCTTTAAAAGAAGTGCCTGGACAGCACCACAGAACTAAAAAATGCATCATGGTAACATCCTGAACTGCCATAACTTGAACAGAGTCCTGGCACTAACCTGAGTTTCTGAATCAGGAAATCACATTGAGCTAGATCTGAGGACTGGTGACACAGCCATGTAGCCTCTGGCCAGAAATTCTGCACTGACAAGACATGTGAAAGGCAGAGAAACTGATCTCCAAAATTCCATTTAAATGTTTGAGTTGTACTTATTGTTTCATCTTGAAAGGCAACTTTACTAGGCTCTAGGCTTTCATAATCCTTTCAGTACTCTAAAACAGAACTTTGGCTCAAAAAGAAAAATTGCAGATGTGAATACATGACTTTGATGTCAATTCTGTTCATGGGTTGTTAACAGTGTGTTGTGGTAGGCAGTACTGCTGACATTTTGGAGGTACATACATGCTGTATCCACATAAATGGTCTAAGTTGGCCACAAGGATGGAGACAGACTGTACCTCAGAAATGTGGGCACAATTGCTGCCAACCACATGGTAGTAGCAATGTAACCACAAAGAACCTTACATTCAGATACCTGTATAAACTGGAACCTGGATGTAGCAGAGATAAAATGTGGTCCTGTTCAGTTCCATTTTATACAGGTTTTACTGTATCATATTTTTTGTCACACCACATATGTAAGTAAATACAGGGTGATTCAAGAAGTTTTACCCCCACTTAGGGAGGGCATTCCTGAGGTAATTTGGAACAAAATATGTTAATATACTAATGGTATCCAACTCATAATTAAAGAGATACAGTAATTTGAAAACTGGCAAAAAATCTTTTTTCCTTTGAATTTCAGTCAAAACAAATTAGAAATACAATCCAAACCTTTTTAAATCGTTAATGATTTAGGAAAGAAGCAATCTAAAACCAATTTTTTTTCCAATTTCTTAATTTTGCATTGTGCAACATTTTTCATCGATTTTGTGTTACAAAATTATTTTCAGCATCCCATTCTGTAAACATACCAATGGTTGCATATCACACCCTTCTATCAATCTGTTTCCTTTAAACTGTAGTGCTTTAGAAGATGAGTGGATTTACATAAGATTTTCAAAAATGTCTCCCTGCATGTCAACACAATGCGTCGCATGCATATGAACCGCTCTATCTACCTACGCGCAACATTCAAACTGGTATACCTTATCTGCTGACATAGCTGACTGGAACATATGGTTGCCCACGCTGAAGCATAGCGCTGCATTCACAATGATGTGTTTTGAAAATCTATTGTTACTCTGTAACTATTGAAAATCGACCACAAGTTTATAAGGAAATTTTGCGGGAAATGACCCCAGGAATATGTACCATAAGCCAGGGTAAAACTTCGTGAATCACCCAGTATAACTTCAGCATGCAACCCTATTTTGTAATGACAGGTGTGTCTCCTTTTCATGAGAACAACACACAGCTATGACTTAAGTTTATGTCGCCAGAGAGGATGCACAGACTGCAACTGCCGTTTGTGAGCAAGCCGTGCTGCAGCAGCAAATGGAAGGCAACAGCTGTACCAACTGATATCCACATCCTCATTCTGCGACAGAGCTGGCATTTCTGTAAGAAAATATGCAGTATTCATATTGTGGTCCACTGTGTTGTGATAGTGTGTACTATCACAGATGGTTACTGACACACAAGTGTTCTGCACTGAAGATGGATGCAGCAGAATGCCCTGATATATTCAACCATCTACAAGAGTACATGTTTTCTTTACAATCTACATTTTTTTCCACTGCGGAATCTCGAGTACTTAGGGGAATTCAACTTGTCCTAGTTCACTGACGTGCATTCTTAACCACAGAAATGCCAGCTTCAGTGTTCCCAGAGGGCTATTCCAGGAGTCAGGATAATTTCGCTTAGTGAGCGGTGGAGTCCAACTGGGTCCACTCGGCACGGCGGCCATTGATTGGCATATTGTAGCCTGCCCTGGGTGATTATGCCGATGGAGAATGTGGTGGAATGAAGATTGGCAGGGGAAACCAAAGTACACTCAACTCTCGATTATCCAGGGGCGGATTAACCGGTTTGTGGCTTAACCGGGGCTTTTTTGAGGCTTATATGTTGTTTAATATTCATTCACTTTTGTTTCACATGGTGAGTTGTAACGCTATTTTCGCACTAGTGTGAACCAAGTTCAGCATTTTTTGGTCCCATTATACTAACACAATGTTCTAGGGTAGGGGTGGAAGAATGCGAGGATTTGTGGAAAGTTTCAAGGACAGATATACCTCTCCAATTAGTCTCTTTGTATCGATCTTCAAGTGTGTTAGCAAAATGTCAGGGTGTAAAAGGAAGCGTATTGTGGTAAGTATTCAACAGTAACTCATGTGAACCAGGCTTCAAAATGTTAAGCAGTGACGAAATCGTAAGTTAAGTGGGGGTGCAGCCAGAAGAGCGGGAAGAAAGTGAGAATGAGGAAGAGGTGGACAGTGCTGCTAGTAAGAAAATATCACATGGTGCTGCTCTTAATCATTTGGAATCCTTACTAGACTATCTTGAGAGTGAAGAGAAGAGTTTATTAAGTGACAAGCTAATATTACGTAGGCTTCGTACGGATATGCGTAAAAAGGAAAATGCCGCGAAAAAGCAAACGACAATATCAAATTTTTTAAGTGTTAAGTGTGAATATTTGTAAAAAGTGTTGGATGTTGTTGAACACTGTGATTGAAATAATTAATTCATACTTCAGTGTAATGTAAAAAAGGTATTAAATAGGCCATGAGATGACATAAAAATGAGGTTGAATAAATTTAAATACAGGTAGGCCTATAGTATTATGAAGGTATAGTATTACAGTACTACTTTTAATAAAATTTGTCTTAACCAGGTTTTCGATTAATCGTGATTTCCATCCCCACCATTATCCCAGATAATCGAGAGTTGAGTGTACTTGGAGAAAACCCACCCCAGCGCCAATCTGTCCACCACAAATCCCACTTGACCAGACCCGGGCTCAAACCCAGGCCGCTGTGGTGGGAAGCCAGTGACTAACCGCTTGAGCTATGGTGCAGCCTTAGGAGTCAGGATATCTCAGTTGATATAATGATGGGCTGGAAGGCCAGGGTTTGATTCCTGGCAATGTAAGTTTTTCTCTTCTCCACGGTGTCCATACCAAACTTGGGACCTACCCAACCTCAGATGCAACGGGTTCTGGTGGTTCTTTCCGTGGGAGTGAAGTGATAGTGGCATGAAGCTGACTCACCTCCATCTAATACTGAGGTGGAGAATGGTGGATCTATACCTCCACTTCCCCATATGTCTTCATGGCATAGTGCTTAATTAATTATGCAAAGGGACATCATTTTTTACCTTTATATATGAAGAGCATTGTACTATGTAAAAGAGAAGTTCTATGATTGAATATTTGTGTGTATTATTCATGGGAGATGGCATTAAATGTAGTCATCAAGGCATCATTCAAATTACATAACAAATGATGAGAATTACAATTGAATTATCAAACAGCGTTAAAATAAAACAGGTAAAGTTGTCCCTGTGCTTAACTAATTAAGTACTACAGCAGGAAGATGGAGGTGGGTGGTCAGCTTCACGCCTCAACCACTTTATCAACAGAAAAAGCCACAGATACCCAGGGGTTGAGAGGCTTGGTGGGCCCCAGAACCGGTCTGGACGTGATCAAGGGGAAATTCTTGCCCCTGCTGCTTCTTACTGATTTCTTACTTGACTCATTCTTTGACCCTGAAGACGGAGACACTACATTCTTGTAAAATATCTGCGGACTTCTACCAGACTACACAGCATTACATCAGAGAAGATAGTACTCTCATACTTACTGCTGTGTGAAGCGGCCTCTGTAGTCTAGGGGTAACGTTCCCACCTCATGACTCAAGGTACGCGGGTTCAAACACGGCGGAGGTCGTGGAATTTTTAAGGGCGGAAAAATTCAGGGAACAAGTCCTCCAGGAGGGACTTTAAGTCATGGGTCCCATGTCCTAGATTTACGGCATGTCTCTAGGAGACCTCTGAGTTAAATTAGGCAACAAGTGTCCCGCCCAAGTAGTTTCCAATGCCTCTGGTCGATGGGGGAAATATCAGGTACCGAGGGCCGACCTCGTTGGCTGAACGGGGCTGATAGCACGCACCAGTACCGGTAGGGTATGGCGACAGTAGAAATTAAAGGGGGATACACAATGGACCAATAACTGGTCTAAGTGCATGGGGAAACCCACCCCCTCTAATAAGAATAATAATAATAATACTGCTGTGTGAACCTCAAATCCAACATTAAAAAGGAAAACCTGCCATATTCAACAACCATTTAATAAAATGGGCCACATTCTCTTCTGTGATAAAGTTACCTTCAATAGAATGAGCAGAGCTTTCTTATTGTCCATAGCATCTAGAATGGCCCTAGGGTCAAAGCCCCATGTTCAGAGAGTGATGGGGGCCCTTTCCTCAGAGAAAAGTGTGGAGCTAACCACTTACTTCAATCTAGTACTGAGGCTAATAATATGTCAAGCTTATACGATGGGGTACCCAAAAGAAACCGAACTTATTTTTTTTAACTTATTTATTCAAATTTTAAAAACAAACCTTCAATCCCCTTCAAAGTACTCTCCACTTACACTAATACACATGTCTAGTCTTTTATTCCATTTTTCAAAACATTGTCTAAATTCATCTTTTGAGATGCTTGACAGCGCCTCCGTCGTTTTTTCCTTTCATGTCTCTTTTCATTCGAGGAAACAAAAAAAAATTGCACGGGGCAAGGTCGGGTGAGTATGGAGGGTGAGGAACAGGGATCATACCATTTTTGGTCAAGAATTGTCGTACAGACAGGGCTGTGTGAGCAGAGGCATTGTCATGATGGAAAAACCAGTCACCCGACTGCCACAAATCTGGCCACTGAGCTCCAAGTCACTCCCGACAGCTCCACAATTTCTTCAATGGTCCGTCGTCGATCTTCCTTGATGATTTCACGAATTTTTTCAAATTTTCATGTGTTCGGGCCGTGGAAGGACGACCAGAACGAGGTTTGTCATCAATTGACATTTCACCATTTTTGAAATGGGAAAACCACTCAGACACTTGAGTTTTCCCCATAGCATCGTCCTTGTATGCCGTTTTTAACGTTTCAAGAGTTTCTGTTCCACTTTTCCTGAGCAAAAAGCAGAATTTCACCGCTGCACGCTGTTCACGAAAATCAGCCATTGCAAAAACGACGATCACACAAAACAGTTGTCACTATAAACTCTGCCGAAACTAGTCCTTACCTTCTGAAGCAATGGTAGTCGGCTTATTGACTCAGGAATGTTAGCTCTATGCGCTCATAGCGGCAAAACGCAGTACTACAAAAGCTCTGCCCACAAAAAAATTAGTTCGGTTTCTTTTGGGTACCCCCTCGTACATCTAATACATCTTGGTGGTCCTTGGTGCAGACATGAGCGACTCAACTTCTTTGCCTTCATGTATTTTAGTGATTTCTTAAGCCAGAGATAATTCCAGATGGCATTCTTAACAATGTTGACTTTCTAGCCATTTCACACAAACACTGTTTGAATGTACTTTCATTAATGCGTTTCAAATTCCTGGACCAAATATGATCGAAACATGCATAGATTAAATGCCCACTGGTGAATCACACAATGAACCAGTTTGTCACTGGCACCACAAATGACAACCAGCGGATGCCACCATGGACCAGTTTAGCACTGGCACCACAAATGCCAACCTGTGACTCCCACAATGAACCAGTTCATCATTGCTACCACAAATGCCAATCAGTGGATGCCATGATGAGCCACTTCATCGCTGGCACCACACATGCTAACCAGTGGATGCCACCATGAACCTGTTCATCACTGGCACCACAAATGCCAACCAGTAGATCTCATTATGAACCAGTTCATATAAAGTAACAATCCCTCAGTGTAGGAGGCAAACTCTGAAAACTAATATTCATTTATCAACTGCATGCTAAACATATTCAAGGATCACCAAAACTGATGAAGCTGAACAGTGAGATTCATAACAATAAGGGAGACAACTTAAACCCTTCCATTCTGTGATGTACTAGTGGAGAACCACGTGGTGTAACACTTGACAAGACAGGTAACTTCACAGCCAGCACTGTGAAAATCTCAAATCTCACACAGACTCACAGCAGTTACTCACCATTCATCAGCATGGAGAGGGCCTCAAGTTGTGCACATCTTGCTTCTTCATGTTGCTGCCGCCTTATTCCCTCGCTGACATGACAATAGAAGCTTGTAAGCCTATTTTGCACTTGGAGATGCACGTCAAGCATTTGCTTCATTCCTGGAAACTTGATATTCTGATGGTCTTCCTTCCACCTGGGAAAATAACATGTTCTGCAATACAGTGTCATATGTAGACTTGAAAGGATTCTGACGATGGTGTATGCTGTACAGAACTATTAAGCTTATTTATCCTGCCCCATCCCCCTGAGGACGGAGACAGATCCAGTCTCCAAAACGTTATGGTTTTTGTCTTATATACCAGAAGATGGATAGAGTCCAAAATAAGCTTAATAGTTCTGTACAGTGTCAAGTGTGTACCATATCCATGGGGATGGTACAGTGGTTCTCACCTGCTCACTTCCAACTGCAGCTGTTGCAGCCTCCTTTCACTAATTCTGTTCACTGGGTGGCAGGGCTTGCATTCTTGCCTCTCTGCCCGAGTATGCAGCCAGTGGCGCACTTTCCTTTGTATGGTTACTGCAGCCTAAAAAAAATCAAAGAATTATAGTATCTCATGTAATAAGATTCTGGAATACTGTCCATAAAAGATATCTTCTATGGGTTCAAGAGTAAAAAATCTCAGACAAGTTCAAACCACTAGACCTCAGAGGTTTTGCAGCTGTACCTGATCAGATTACAAAATCATAATTACAGCAACACTACCATATTCCACTTATAGCAGCATTAGAACCCTTATGTAGATCTTCCCAAAATAGCTGTTCTCAGTCTCCAATGAAAATTGTTTCCCCGACATCTCTTCTCCATGTCATCCAGACTGGTTCTGGGGTCAACCCAGCCTCCTATCCAATGGGTACAGGAGGCTCTTTCCCCGAGGGTAAAGTGGCAGGGGCGTGAAACTCACCACTCACCTCCAACTAGTGCCTAGGTGAAGAAAACGTGGATCTATATACCCACTCCCACATACACCTTCATGGTATAGCGCTTAATTAGTTAAGCACTGGGACAAATTTACCTTACATATCTAAGAAAATAACACGCCCATTAGTTGCTCAATGTTCACTCAAATGACTATAACATTTCCGCTGAAACATAAGGATGGTTAAGAGAGATAAGTAGTTTGAATAAATGAAAACAACTCTAGCAGTAAAATGAGCTGTTATAATATTAAAATTGGTGATCAAAAATAACAGCAGAGGACAGCTCAGTTTGGACAGTGATTAGGTTACAGGATGGATGATGAAGTAATTGGGTTCAATTCCTGGCAGAGATAGCATCCAGACTGGCTAGGGGAGCCACTTTGCTTTCCTATGTAACTGATACTGGGGTTCTTTCTCCAGGGGCAAAGTGACCAAGCCACTAAGCTGACCACTCACTTCCATCTAATGCTGAGGCCAGAAATGCCTCATCTGTCTTCAGAGGTTGGTGCTTGATTAAGTACATGGATAACTCTGCCTTTACCCGTTACAAAAGTAATGTAACATTAAGTAAGCATTGTGTGACAAACAGCATGTGGCATGCACAATTCAGTTCTGGAAGTTACCCCAATACTTCACACTGTGCTCTGCAATTTAGCTGAATATCAGTTCTATAAGGATGCAGGACTTGATCTAGCATGACACAAATAAATGGGCAATCATTGCATGGTAAACCACCACACCTGAATATAAAATTTGCTCACCTTGGATTATGACAAAATTTGCCATACATATTAGTCCCATATCTTTCTACTGGTTTCTCAAATACAGTTGTTAAAAAATTAATTCCTGCTTGGTAAAAATGGCACATATTTTGTGTTTTCTTTAATGACTGAAATAGCCACATATGAACTAGTTAATGAAGTATTAAATGCTTTGAACAATGGTATGTTTGTTGGTGGTATCTTTTGTGATCTCAAAAAGGCCTTTGATTGTGTCAATCATGATATATTACTATCAAAATTGGAATTTTATGGCATGACTGATAAGGCTGGTGCTTGTAACCGTCCAAACCTTTTAATATTCTTTAATGGACACTGTGTTCCACGTTAGTCATTTCAATAGAGTGACTGATTTATTAGGGAGACCCATCCATTAAGAAGTTGACATGCTTTTCGCATTTAGACAGGAACAACTTAGTTTGTTACCTGGACCTTGGGTGACCGTTAGANTGATGATGATGATCAGATTGTTAACACTACAAATACTAAGTTTCTGGGGCTTATTATTGATAACACATTGACTTGGAATGGACATGTGGATTGGTTAATGTCTAGATTGGGCTCTGCATGTTATGCGATTAGAGCCCTAAAATCTTACATGTCTCAGGGTACATTAAGAATGATTTACTTTTCTTACTTCCATTCAATTATGACCTATGGTTTGGTTTTTTGGGGTAATTCCCCTTATAGTATACATATCTTTAGGTTGCAAAAAAGGGCAATTAGAATTATAATGAACTCTGGGAACAGAGATTCACGTAGGGAATTGTTCAGGGAACTGGAAATTTTACCCCTTCAATCTCAGTATATATTTTCTCTTGCAATGTTCGTGGTTAATAATAAATATCTATTTAAGTTAAATTCCGAGTTATATAATAGGAATACAAGATATAATAATAAATTCATTATCCTATATGTAAGTTGACTGTATTTCAAAAGGAGTATACTACCATGGAATTAGGGTTTTTAATTGGCTTCCTCCTAATATAAGGAACCTGGCTCAAGATGTTAAACATTTTAAAATTGTTTTAAGAAGATTTTTGTTGATGAACCCGTTTTATTCCTTGGAAGAATATTTTGATTTTAAATTTGACTCCAATAATAATTAACTGTGATCTATTATGGTACTGAATAATGTAATGAATCTTATATTGTTATTTCTATGTAGTGTTATTTGTACTANTAAAGTACTGACTTGTCCTATATCATGTACAATGATCCATGGATATGATATGAAATAAATAAATAAATAAATAAAAATAATATTGTATCTGAGCATCTTGCTGTCATGTTGATCACACAAAATACAACCTTCAGTGCAGCTTCACAGAATTACTGGTCAAAATTAACTCCATGCTTTTATGTAAACTGAACAACATGTTTCAACCACATAGAATACAACTGTACAGTAAAGAGGCTTACAGGCATGGTCATTTCATTGTAAAATTGAGCTGAAACTAAATCTGGTGCAAGTTAGAGGGTTATGAAGTTTGTGTTGAGTCTACATCTTTCAGATTATAAGCAAACTTTCCTGAATATTTGGGAAAACTCTACTTGAAACAGCTCATACTATATGACATTCAAAGTTTTTGTATCAGTAGATACATGCTGGTAACCACCTACCAGACTGCAGAGTACCATGGGCTAGGTGAAAGCAACCTTGATTGTATAATAAGTGTACCTTTTCCCTCCTAAGCTCATCTCGCACCTCAGCACGCTTCCATCTCGCTCTATAACCTCTCCAAGCTGTTTGTATTCGTCTGGCAGCGGTCTCTTCCAAATTGTTCAAGCAAAATGCCAACGTATCTATGAACACACTACAATTACTAACACTGAATGAACTGAGGCGTGACGCTTATGGCCTAGCTGCTGAAAGCTTCATTAAAGAACCCATAAATAAATAAAATAAATTAATACTGGAGTATAAACTTAGCAATCAGAAAGCTCTTACCAGCTGGCGGAATATTAAGAACATCTGAGTTAAGTTCTACGAATCTTCTACGATTTATGGTATTTCTTCTTTGCAGCCAGGTTTGAATACTCATTTTAATTTAAAATACATGAGCCGAAAAATAAATCAACAGTACTAAATGCAATAAATACTTCCTAAGACAAGTATGTCCCTCCGTCCATTACGCTACTTGAACGGTAACCATGGCAACAAATCAGGGCTGCCAACAAGGATTAGCTTCTAGTATACATCCAACTCTGCTTACTTACTGCCGCTAACTACATTTAGACAAATAAAATCACAAGTGGCCGGGCCGTAGCTTAAGCGGTTAGTCGCTGGCTTCCCACCACGGCGGCCCGAGTTCGATCCCGGTCTGGTATGATTTGTGGTGGACAAAGTGAGTTGGGGCGGGTTTTCTCCGGGTACTTCGGTTTCCCCTGCCAATCTTCATTCCACCAAATTCTCCATCATCATAATCACACGGGGCAGGCTACAATAGGCCACTCAGTGGACCAAGTTTGACTCCAGCCCCCACTGAGCGAAATACAATCACAAAATCGAGTACATTCCGAAAGGTTCTGACGATTTGTATAACACTTGGGATTACTGGGCTTCAGGACTTTGTCCATAGTCTGATAAAGTCACTTTACGACTGACGGTTGTAATTTTATAAAATTCATGGCATATACATTTATGCAGAGGCATCCGGAGGCGAAAGTATTTCACATACAAACGGGATGTTAAAACATCCAGGCGATATTGTAGGGTTATAATTTGAAAATGGAACCCAATCCTGTGTAATAGAGCCAGGATAGTGCAGTCGGTATAGCAACTGGCTAAGGGCAGGACAACCAAGGAATCGGAGTTTGAATTCCGGTGGGGGCAAAAATGTTAAATTCTCTGTGTCGTGCAGACCGGCTCTGGGGTCCATCCATCTTCCTATCCAGTGGGTACCGGGGGCTCTTTCACCGGGATAAAGCGGCCGGGGCGTAAAGCTGACCACTCACCTCCAAATAGTGCCGAGGTCAAGAAAACGTGAATCTATACAGCCACTTTCCCATACGTCTTAATTGCGTAGTGCTTAATTACTTCAGCACAGCGACAACATTACCTTTTTATACCAAATTCTGTGTTTACCTTAACGATCTAGCTTCACTATAGCCCGGTATATTACGAAAGTGGGCCTGTCATGTAAATGGAAGGCCATTGAGTCACCATAACTGCACATGTGACATGTTTCATGCAAGAATTAATTTAATATTGCTGGACTTGTTGTAGAATGTAATGGATGGATTTGCCGATGAGGATCCTTCAGGTTATATAACGAGAGAACTTCTTGAACAACTGAATACTCAATAGCGATGCCGGAGCACTAGTAATATATTTACCAAGAAATAATTAAAGTTATCATTTATCCTGTTCGGCCAAAGAACGATGCATTCCCCTTAATTTCAAATTGTTAGCTATGTGGTCTGAAAAAAGAACTGACTTCAAATGAAGCATATGATTTCACGTTAGTGGTGGGCACTGTTAGTGTATTCTTTGTTTGGGCACTTAGTTGACATTCTCTATAACACTTTCTACCTGTACACCGATGAATAATAACTTTTGACATCCTCTATATGTGCCATAGAATGTAGTGTAAGAAGCACTGAATGATGATCACGCACCTTCGGTCCCTTCAGACCTACCTATTAGTTTCATCACGTCCATCTCTTTGTCTGCAGATTTCAACGCTCACACTGCCTTACCTATGTTAATCAAAATGGGTTTCACATACCAATACAAAATTATATCAAGAATTTGTTTTATTCCGGTGCAGTTTCTTCATTTTTCAGGGTCGTGTTACTTGCTGCATAAATTAATATTTAGGTGTAACTGCGGTTCTTTGACAAATTTTGATGAGATTTGATGCATGTTCTTATATTATACGAGTGTGACTCTGTACGGCTCCGCCAATTTAAGTTGATTTTAAGCCCCTCATTACGGAGGGACTTGAATATATTTTTAAATGTGTACATCAGGTATTCAAATGAGAAAGTTATTTACTACATAAAGGTCACAAGGTTGAATAAACTATACACACAATATGTTATACAAAAATTGCAAAAAACACGGTCATTTCGAGAAAACCATCAAATGTTTAACAGTATTTAACTGAGGACCATTAAATTCTTTTCCCAAGTCTTGTTGTCGTCCTGAACTTGATGATCTGTTAAATTTACAGTCATGGACGCCGCCACCAGTAGGGAAGAAACACTAAGCATTTTCAGCCCCCCACCCCGGTGACTTTTTAAAAGATCAAGACTGAAAAAATAAAGGAAACTACCAATATACCAGCATATTTTAAGTTAGCAAAAGCATTCTTAAACGGTTTAAACGTGCTTGTGAGCAACTTTTTTGCCTGGCCCCTCCTATTGGAAAATCTTTGGGAAGGGGCTTTTTTTACAGCAGACTCACGTCAGCCTGATACAGATTTTATCCACTCACTTGACGACCCTGCTCTTTAAAAAATTTTGCGAAATCCAAAGGAACGGTAACAGAATGCAATCTGGCAGAATCATCTAGGGTAAGCTACGGTCCAAAAACGATTGTTTCGCCCACATGAATACCATGAAACAACACTAACAAGCGGAAATTATAGTACAGAAATGCCATCGGGCCGTTGTTATTGGAGATGTTCAAAATATCGGCTATTAGTGCCCAAACAGAGCAAGTGCAGGCGCATTAATCAGGGACACGCTCTATGGTCACGTGTAAGGTATTACGTTCATTCTGAATTGAACTGAGCTGAATATAAACTGGTAGTTGTGTACCTAAAAATGATTCGAAATGTCAAATCTGTTGAAAATAAAAAAATATAAAGACAGGCAGACAAACACGAAGAAACTAACAGGCATGTAAGAATTGCCAAGGAAGGTTGCGAATTGCTGTAAAAATGTTTTCAATTTCGGAGCTGCTCCGTTCTTTGTTTCACCCGCTCGCCACTTTGAGGCACAGGATATGAGGGGGGACCTGAAACAAAAGAAACAAACAAAAAAGAAACTTCAGTATGAACACTAGGAAACGGATATTGCACTAACAGAATGAACACATAAGCTTACCTCTGCTGTTGGTACTCTTGCCATCTCTGTAACACATCTTCTTTTAAATATAAGAACTCTTCAGACAATATGCTGCACGTTTTAATATCTCCGGTCGTGAGAGGCGCGCAATTGAGTGTACCAATTGTTCACTGCAGTTGTCCCCGTTAAAACTGACAAAAGGATTAAACTGTTATATAAACGTGCGCCGTTTGGTGCGGGAATAAAAATAAACGACATAACGAAGTAAATCTTCCAGTTTTCATTTAAGTCTTGAGCACTCGACGTAAAAAACAAATCGTTGACGGCTTCTCTCGAAAAATCAACTCACATTTATTGCGTTAGAAAGAGGCTCCTTTCAAAACGAAACGAAAACACAGCAAAACGGTCAAATGGGAGATGTTCCGGCTCATGGACAGAACTCGTCATCGTAAAATGAAATCTTATTCTCTGTCGCACAGCCTAGCGGCTATTTACACAATTAGCCAACATTAATATACTCAATTGAAACCGAATACAACATATTCCTTTTCCAAAGAGAAGTTACTTTTACGGCGGTTAATTTTTTGTCGCGTAAAATCCAAATTCCGACAACAATCGGCGACTTTTACTGACACGTGAAATATAATCGTCACAAATTCACGTGTGTTTCTCGAGACGTAACGATGTAAAACCCTTATATTATCGACTCACCTAATGCCTTTCATTGCAACGACAAACGTTGTCTTCTCCTTTGCTGAAGCTGCAGCAGTTTTGACTTACCTTTTGCATTTCTTCATGATGACAATCGATGTCTTCTTTTATGCAGAAGCTGGAGTACATTTCATTGACTCACCTTATGCGTTTCCTCATTTTAACATTTTATAAATTGAATACAGAGCACAATACACACAAACAAACATAATATGTCATCAAATTGAATACGCAGCACAATACACACAAACATAACATATCATCAATTTGAATATGCAGTATAATACACACAAACAAATATAACATGTCATCATAAATTTTAATGTCTATTTTAGATATACCTGGTACATACAGATCCAGTAACTTATCTTTGAACATTGAATTGAAAGACAGATGAAAGCAAAATGAAGTTTTACTTTACTGGATCTTTGTCCCTCCAATGCGAGTTATTCACAGAGAAAGACTGTCAAAGTTCTTTTTATCCCTCTTTCTCTCGCATTGATTTCATTGTTGTGCCGACCGAACCCTGTCAAGTTGCACCCTGTGTCATAAAAAAACACACAGAAATACTTAAAACTAAACCCTCCTAAACCGACAAGAAGCCTAACTTCACGAAGTCTAACCAGAAATCCTATCATGGGCACCTAACGGGGAGGGCGGGAGGACAACACCTTACAAACTAAAATAATAAAAAAATCATTTCCACAGGGTGTCGATCTCGACCTTAACCTAAGCCCTGAGTCATGGCGGCTACCGCAGCAAATCCAGAGTTCCGTTATCACGGTACTATGTTATCGTGACCAGCCTGGGGCCGGACTGGACCACGATAATACCGTGCGTGCTATGGGACCTTTATTCACTGCGAGTACCCATCCCCATCCTCCTGCGGATGGGCCCTCAATCGCTAAAGGTTCCGAAACGGCACTGTTTTGGTTTCAACTTTACGGTTTGAGCGTTGCTCCTCCTGCCTTGCGTGGTTCCTGGTTCGAAGTCTGCACCTGGTGGACGCTGTCTCCATTGGAAGTATCACAACACTAACACAAACACTCAGAGAGCCGTTGTAATCACACACAATATCTGTATTCACTCACATAAACACACGGCGAACATGATATCACACGAAATAACACTCGCGAACCACACACTACTGACCTGAATATCACAAACACAGTTTGCCTGATAATTCTGAATTTGGCTACAGAACTTCGTCTCGTTAGATATCTGGTAACGCAAGTAAATGTGTTTGGATAATTTCTGTTATGTATGCCTCATGAATGACAGGTTTATTATCCGGAGCTGAAGATGGAGCTGTATTTTCTGATGGTGCTCTACACTTTCGGGGTCATGTCGGAATGTTGTTAGGTGAATCACTGCGCCTGTTCATTACCAAAATAATCTTCACAGTAATCTAACTTAAACATAACAAAATAGAGTAA